GAAACATGTTTCAGTTTCTATTGTATGGCAAGTTTAGTTACGAAGCATGGAAACTTTCTATTGTATGGCAAGTTTCAGTTTTTTGGGGTTTCGTTTTTTTAATGAAAATTTTAGTTGTAAAAACGTAAGGGTGGTGTTACTTCGTGCCACACGTGTGTCACTTATTATTTGAGAGCCAAAATCAGTATGTCCGCTCAATTACATTCACATTTTCAACTGTAGGGTGACACTAAATTATTCTCTCTTTATTCTTGAAGCATAACGAAACTTCAAAATATGGATAGAATTCCAATCCGTGTTCTATCTTTTCCCTTGTGCACCAGACGTTGAACGGAGTGACGAATATCTAAGAACATAGGGCTCGTGTATTTCCTACTCTCCCTGAAAAGAACCCTCCCCCCCTCCCCGGACGGTAGGAGGGACCCGCTCTCGATTTTGTTAGGTCCAGTGTCTTGGTTGGGGCTATGTGGTGGTGGTGATGCCTCTCGGTAGGAATAATGTCTCCCACGTTCGACCTCCGTCTTGGCGGTGCGCCTAGCGTCGTCAGAGGGCGTGTAAAGGTGTGTCTCTGTCGGGTCTCGCAAGATTCGATCGGTGTTGGTCTTCGGTGGATCTGTTTGGATCCAATTTTTATTTGGATGTTTATTGGTTTGATCCTTCTGATCTATGACTTTCTTCATCGGTGATGGTTATTGCTCTGGTGCGCAGGTCCCATGGGGCCTTAGCATGACGGCTTCCTGGCTGTCGACTACAAGAAAGTTTGCCTGCCTCCGGTGTGGGAGGGGCAGTGATGGTGGTGCGCCTTCGGCTAGCTTAGTGCTTGTAGTCGTTGCTAGGTGGCCTATAGACCTGGTTATAATTTTTTTTACCTCCGGTTTGTTGTATTGGCATGATTGATTATAAATCAATCAAAAGTTTCTCTCTCAAAAAAACTAACTTACACACAAACTAGATATAAAGTTTATAACCAATAGTTTGGTTTTGCTCGGTATTATCTAGGTTTATTTTTCTGCTTTTTGCTTAGACTTGTTCTTCTGCTTTTGGGGGTTTGCTGGTTTTCCTTCGGTTTTCTATCTTTCTTGGTTTTCTTTTTTCTTGATTTTTAAGTACAACTACATTTCTTTGCGAGGGCTAAATACAACTGTTGGAAATATGCCCTAGAGGCAATAATAAAATGTATTATTATATTTCCTTGTTCATGATAATTGTCTATTGTTCATACTATAATTGTGTTATCCGGAAATCGTAATACATGTGTGAATACATAGACCACAACATGTCCCTAGTGAGCCTCTAGTTGACTAGCTCGTTGATCAATAGATGGTTACGGTTTCCTAACCATGGACATTGGATGTCATTGATAACGGGATCACATCATTAGGAGAATGATGTGATGGACAATACCCAATCCTAAGCATAGCACAAGATCGTGTAGTTCATATGCTAAAGCTTTTCTAATGTCAAGTATCATTTCCTTAGACCATGAGATTGTGCAACTCCCGGATACCGTAGGAATGCTTTGGGTGTGCCAAACGTCACAACGTAACTGGGTGGCTATAAAGGTGCACTACGGGTATCTCCGAAAGTGTCTATTGGGTGGCACGAATCGAGACTGGGATTTGTCACTCCGTATGACGGAGAGGTATCTCTGGGCCCACTCGGTAATGCATCATCATAATGAGCTCAATGTGTCTAAGCAGTTAGTCACGGGATCATGCATTACGGAACGAGTAAAGTGACGTGCCGGTAACGAGATTGAACGAGGTATCGGGATACCACGATCGAATCTCGGGCAAGTAACACACCGATTGACAAAGGGAATTGTATACGGGGTTGATTGAATCCTCGACATCGTGGTTCATCCGATGAGATCATCGTGGAGCATGTGGGAGTCAACATAGGTATCCAGATCCCGCTGTTGGTTATTGGCCAGAGAGATGTCTCGGTCATGTCTACATGACTCCCGAACCCGTAGGGTCTACACACTTAAGGTTCGATGACGCTAGGGTTATAGGGAAAGTTTTTACGTGGTTACCGAATGTTATTCGGAGTCCCGGACGTCACGAGGAATTTTGGAATGGTCCGGAGATAAAGATTTATACATGGGAAGTCCTCCTTCGGTCGCCGAAAGTGTTTGGGGGTCTATCGGTATTGTACCGGGACCACCGAAAGGGTTCCGGGGGTCCATCGGGAGGGTCCACCTGCCCCGGAGGGCCTTATGGGCTGAATATGGAGGGGAACCAGCCCCTAGGTGGGCTGGGCGCCAAACCCCCCTAGGGCCCATGCGCCTAGGGTTGGGGGGGGGGACCCTAAAGGGGGCGCCCCCCTTGGTTTGGGGGGCAAGCCTCCCCCCTTGGCCGCCCCCCCTCTAGATCCATCTGGAGGGGGCCGGCCCCCCTTTCCCTTGCCCCTATAAATAGAAGGGGGGGGGGGAGGGCAGCCGCACCACATCCAAGGCGCAATCCTCCCCCTCCCCAACACCTCCTCCTCCCGTGACGCTTGGCGAAGCCCTGCTGGAGTACCACACTGCTCCAACACCACCACGCCGTCGTGCTGCTGCTGGAGTTGTCTTCCTCAACCTCTCCCTCTCTCTCCTTACTGGATCAAGGCGTGGGAGACGTCATCGGGCTGCACGTGCGTTGAACGCGGAGGCGCCGTTGTTCGGCGCTTGGATCGAAATCAACCGCGATCTGAATCGCCACGAGTACGACTCCCTCATCCGTGTTCTTGTAACGCTTCTGTGTTGCGATCTTCAAGGGTATGAAGATGCACTCCCTCCTCTCTCGTTGCTTATTTCTCCATAGATTGATCTTGGTGATGCGTAGAAAAAAAATTAATTTCTGCAACGATCCCCAACAACAACTACGTTGCGAGGAGTACAAGTTGGGTTACTTTATAGAGTACACGCTGCATGATGGGATCACAGATGTGCTTACGCAGGGAGTATAGATTCTAGTGGGGGAGTACATTCTGTGTTGTGCTGAAAGCACAAGTTGTATTGTGAAGTGTACAAGTATTTTTTTCCTTCAAATTATAAGTGTCACACATATGACATGAAGCAACCCGGCCCTGATGTTTTTTACAACTAAAATTGCCATCCGAAAAGAAGAAGAAAAACTGAAACTTGCTATCCGAAAAAAAATTGCCATGCTTTAGAACTACAAATACCATCCTCATGTCACTAAACTTGTCATAAAAAAATGTTTGAATTTGCCATGTGTTCGTGCCACACGTGGTGCCACTTATTAGGGTCTTTTTTTACGGGTGAAGAGTACAAGCTGCACTACATGTGAGTACTTCTACCCTTTGAGGAGTACAAGTATGTTACTCCATGAAGCACATGTACGTGACCGTGAGGCGCACAAGTTTGTTATATTTGTTAGCACAAGACTACAAGTTACGTCAAAGAAAAAGGTATGTTGAGAAATATGAATATGGGGCCTAGTTTTGGAGGTCTCGACTTGAGAAACAAAATGGTGAAAACGTTCAAACATCTGTTCAAAGGATATTTATTTTTAAAAACAGGTAAAAATGTGGTAAGCAGCAATTCGAGTTCTACGACCAGCTCAATCGGAACCGCCTCCTCCTCCCCTAAAAAAATTAGGGTTCCCCGCCGCCACCGGTCCGCCTCGTCTCGGTGGCCTTAGGGTCATGGGGGCGCGGTGGATTCCGGCCCTTGCCGGTAGGAGGACTCCGTTTTTAGATGTGATTTTGAGTTTTGTTATGATTTGTGTCCTACTCAGGAAGGCGAGACGGCGGCGGCTCCCAGCAGATGGAATAAGGTTCTCTCCGTCTAGCCCCTCTCCCGATGCATCTAGCATTATCGGTGGGTGTGTGACTTAGGTGGATTTGGTCGGATCTATTCGTTGTTCGTCTACATTCGTGTGTCTTTAGGTTGGATCCTTCTGATCTACGCTGCTCCTAATCGGCGACGGTTGCTGTTCTGATGCGTTGGTCCTAAGGGGTCTTAGCATGATGACTTTCCTTTTGCCAGCTCTGGTGAGAGGGATGAGGAGGGATGACGGTGGTGCGCCTTCGGCCTTGTAGTACTCTCTCCGTCCCAAAATTGGTCTATGAATCTGAGTGTAACTTTTATTATTTCTAGCGTTCGTTGTACTATTATGATTGAAGATGAATAGATCGAATATTGTTCCGTAAGAAAAGAATACATGTAAAAATACATGATATGATTGGCGAGAATACGTGATAAAAATCAGATAATAACACGTAGAAACAACCTCCCATATTTCCTTTGATAGGAGAAGATCCAGTAAAACTGTCTGGCGACAACAAATGACGCATATGCTTTGCGTCAATTGTCACCACCCGAAGAGGGTTCGGGGTAATCTTTGCCAAATGTTGCCCTTAACCAACTGATGATTTCGTGGGGGCAAAAAAAATCAAGGTTGTGTTTTGTAACACGATCCCCGGCCGTACAGCTGACAAAAATGGGAAAACGATTCCCGTACAATGTGATCCTGAACGTTAAGATCACAGGGACGCGCAGTAGTGTTGGGATGGACCCAAAGTATCGGGTAGGCCAGATAGGAAGTTGAGTAGATAGTGTCTAGGATCGACCTGGAACTTAGCATCGGTTTTAGGATCATCATGGTGGCACCAACGGCAAAGTAGAGTACTTGGCTGTCACCGGCCGAGACACCGAGCGATGGCATGGCAGTACGCCACGGCCACGCAGGGGGAGGGGCATGCATGGAGGAACAGGTCAAGAATAGAGGGAGACCGACCGCAGGCGGTGGATCCCGATAGATCGGCGAGCGGACGCGCGGGCGTTGCGGGCGCTGGAAGAAACCAACCGCACGCAGCCATGGCGCCTGGACACATATAAGCCGCGGGCCTCCTCGGCCTCCTGTGCCTCCCCCCGTCCCCTCCCATCTCCACCGCCGCATGCGCCCGCCGTCGCGTTGATCGATCCGCCGACCAGCCGGAGAGGGAGCGAATCCATCGGTACACGCAGGAGGAGCCGGAGAGACGAGGGGACGATGACAGCCGGGCCCAAGATGCGCGCCGCGGTGCTGGCGCTGGCGCTGGCGCTGCTCGCCGTGGCGGTGCGCGCCGAGGACCCCTACCTCTTCTTCGACTGGAAGGTGGCGTACGGGACCAAGTCCCCCATGGGCACGCCCCAGAAGATGATCCTCATCAACGGCGAGTTCCCCGGCCCCACCATCAACTGCACCTCCAACAATAACATCATCGTCAACGTCTTCAACCAGCTCGACCAGCCGCTCCTCTTCACCTGGTACGCCTTCCGTTTCTTCTTCTTCTCTCTTCTCTTGTGTTACTAGACTAGACTAGACTAGATGGAAGAGAGGGACCGTATCCGATCGATCATTCTGCATGCATGCATTGCGTCTGCATGTTTGCGTGCGTGCATGCAGGCACGGGATCCAGCAGAGGAAGAGCTCGTGGCAGGACGGCATGCCGGGCGACATGTGCCCCATCCTGCCGGGCACCAACTTCACCTACAAGATGCAGTTCAAGGACCAGATCGGCACCTTCTTCTACTACCCCAGCATCGGCATGCAGCGCGCCGCCGGGGCCTACGGGCTCATCAGCATCCACAGCCGCCCGCTCATCCCGGTGCCCTTCGACCCGCCGGCCGACGACTTCGGCGCCCTCGTCGGCGACTGGTACACCAAGGACCACACCGTGCTGGCCAAGAACCTCGACACCGGCAAGGGCATCGGCCGCCCCGCGGGGCTGCTCATCAACGGCAAGAACGAGAAGGACGCCTCCAACCCGCCCATGTACAACGTGGAGGCCGGCAAGACGTACCGCTTCCGCGTCTGCAACGTCGGCATCAAGACCACCCTCAACGTGCGCATCCAGGGCCACGTCCTCAAGCTGGTGGAGATGGAGGGCTCCCACACCGTGCAGAACGAGTACGACTCCATGGACGTCCACATCGGCCAGTGCCTCTCCTTCCTCACCACCGCCAACCAGAAGCCCGGGGACTACTTCTTCATCGCCTCCACCCGCTTCATCAAGGGGGTCAGCACCATCACCGCCGTGATTCGCTACAAGGGGTCCAACACCCCGCCGGCGGCCAAGCTGCCGGACGCGCCGGACGGATGGGCCTGGTCCATCAACCAGTGGAGGTCCTTCCGCTGGAACCTGACGGCCAGCGCCGCCAGGCCCAACCCGCAGGGGTCCTACCACTACGGCCAGATCAACATCACCCGCACCATCAAGCTCTCCCCCAGCCGCGGCAAGGTCGACGGCAAGGAGAGGTACGCCCTCAACGGCGTGTCCCACACCGACCCCGAGACGCCGCTCAAGCTCGCCGAGTACTTCAACGCCACCAAGGGAGTGTTCGAGTACAACCTCGTCACCGACACGCCGCCCAAGGAGGGCACGCCCATCAAGGTCGCCCCCAGCGTCATCACCACCGAGCACCGCACCTACATTGAGATTGTCTTCGAGAACCCCGAGAAGAGCATCGACACCTTCCACCTCGACGGCTACGCCTTCTTCGCCGCCGGGTAAGACTACTAACTAATTTCATGGAACTGCTAAGCTGCATGCATGCCTCATGGATCATCGATCGGGTCTGTCTTCTGACCGGACCATGGATGGATGGATGGATGCAGCATGGGACCGGGGCTATGGTCGGTGGAGAGCAGGAAGACATACAACCTCCTGGACACGGTGAGCCGGCACACCATCCAGGTGTACCCGAGGTCGTGGACGGCGGTGATGCTGACGTTCGACAACGCCGGGATGTGGAACTTGAGGTCCAATCTGTGGGAGAGGTACTACCTGGGCGAGCAGCTATACGTGAGCTGCACCTCGCCGGCCAGGTCGCTCAGGGACGAGTACAACATGCCCGACAACGCCCTCCGCTGCGGCAAGGTCGTCGGCATGCCGCTGCCGCCGCCCTACACCATCGCATAAACCACTCTCCCCCAGCTCCATTAATTCCACTCCACTCCACTCCATGAGAGCACGCTTGCATGGTGCTGTACACACTACGTACGTACAACGACAACAACAGGAAGAGCAGGAGAGTTTTTTCGTTTCTTCTTTTTTTTCGTACGCCCCCACGTCGGCTGTTCTTCTTGTCAGGTTCACTCTCTCTTTTCGAGGAAAATAAAACAACAACAAAAAAGGGGGCCTCATCGTCATGTGGGCGCCGCTTGTCATCGGAACGAGGAGGATGATGATTTCAGAACAAGAAGAAGAGAGATTGGCCGGATACGAGCTCGATCGGGACGCCCTCTCGAATCGTTTACGTTGTAATAGGAGTTAATTAATTCTATCTGATGATCATCATTTATCCAATAAGTCCTTTGGGCAAATTGGTTATTGTGTGTTTATAATCCGATACCATATGTATGTACATGAGCGCACCTTTGCGGTTTTTATTCCATCTTCTGTTTTCTCTAACTTCCCTGTGGAACTTAGTTAAAATCTGGTTCACTGTACCTTTGCAAAACTGTCTTTGGGTTCAGTGTACCTTTGCAAAACTGTCACAATGGATCGCAATAATAAAAAGCGAAAGAAAACACTAACATAAACTCATCAGAACCATATGAACGAATCATAAACCTCAATAAGTATGGCCAAACACACCAAACTTGTAAGCCACAAACTTTCTGATTCCATGGACTCCATGGCCTCGCCTGACAAGACTTTGGCACAACAGGAAAAGAACCATAGTATATTTATTCTTGCTGACACCACACCCTCTGCCAGAATGTTGCAGATGAAGACTGAAGGGATCACACGCTAAAAACTTTTGAGAACATCTACGAAGATGCAACATTCTCCTCACCTTGCAACACGACGATGTGAGGTGAGGGGAACTGGCGAAAAACATTTTTGTTTTTGTTTTTTTAAACACAAACTACTTTTTATCCAAATAGGAATGACACAACTATGGTATGACATAATGGACTTTGCAAGATAAAAAAATTAAAAACCCCTAACACCGATGAGCTGCCATTGACGAGAACCATCCACCCCAAGAGGAACATCTATGCAGCAAGGAACCAACAACGCTGACAGAGACTCCACCAAGGGAATCCTCTTTGAGGTTTTTTAAGCCTCATGAGCCCCCAGAGCTATCCTGAATCTGAAGACAATCAATGCACCTTGCAAAGTCATTGGATCAGTGAGAACTTCATTAGCAAAGAAAGAAATCGTCGTCCACGCCCATTGTAAAGTTGTAAAGGAAGAAGGGCGTTATCCATCTTGCAGAAGAACCATACAACAAACAACAAGTTTTGAAGAATGACAACAGATTAAATCTGAGGACACAAACTTTCACCAACCATTCGTTGCGGCAAATCGGACGACGTTAAGATAAGAAGAGACCAGAGATACCTTACTCCAACACGCCATTGTTCCCCAACTCCTATTTGGCGCCTTAAGCGCCGGTTGGTGTGTATTTTGCTACACGGCGCATACCCCCTCCACAACACTGGTATCTAGATGGGCCGGCCCATGTAGGGTTTTTTTCACTGGATTTTCCCGTTTTGTTTCCATTTTATTCTTTTTTGTTTTCTTTTTCTTTATTTTTTCATTTTAGGTAATCAAATTCCTGAACTTTTCCCAATTCCATGAACTTTTTCTCAAATTTGAAATATTTTCCCATTTTTTGTGAACTATTCTTCAAGTTTGAAACTTTTAAATTTTTTGTGAACTTTTAATTTCAAATCCATGAACTCTTTCCCAAATTTCGTGAACTCATTCACATTATTAACTTTTTCCAAAAAAATCAGAACCTTTTTTAAAATTGATGCACTTTTTTTCTAATTTGCAAACTGTTTTCAATCATGAATTTTCCAAGACTTGAACTTTTAAAAAATATGTGATTTTTTCATTTTAAAAAATCATTTTTTTAAATGTCATGAAATTTTTACAAATTTGTTGAACTTTCTTTCAATCTTTTGTGATTTTTTCCATTTTTCAAAAGTCAACGATCGCCGGAGTTCCGGTCAAGGTCAATGATCGCAGGCCCACCAAAAGTTCGGTTGGTCCAGCCCATGTGGCCCTCAAATGCTGATGGCTACAGGTCTGTTTGCATCTGGGGGTCCTGCCTGGTCTGGGCCGTTCAGCTCAACGTATGGATTGCCACAAAAAAGAAAGAAAAACGCAGCGTATGGAGGAATCTCTGTTGGGGAACGCAGTATTTCAAAAAATTTACCTACGATCACGCAAGATCTATCTAGGAGATGCATAGCAACGAGAGGGGAGAGTGTGTCTACGTACCCTCGTAGACCGAAAGCGGAAGCATTTAGTAACGCGGTTGATGTAGTCGAACGTCTTCGTGATCCAACCGATCCAATTACCAAACGTACGACACCTCCGCGTTCAGCACACGTTCTGCTCGATGACGTCCCTCGGGCTCTTGATCCAGTTGAGGCCGAAGGAGAGTTCCGTCAGCACGACGGCGTGGCAATGGTGATGATGAAGTTACCGACGCAGGGCTTCGCCTAAGCACTACGACGATATGACCGAGGTGTGTAACTGTGGAGGGAGGCACCGCACACGGTTAAGACAAATCTTGGAGTGCCTTTGGGGTGCCCCCTGCCCACATATATAAAGGAGGGGGGAAGAGGAGGCCGGCCAAGGAGGGGCGCGCATATACGGGGAGTCCAACTAGGATTCCCAATCCTAGTTGGAGTCCCCTTCCTTTTCCAAGAGGGGAGAGAGAGAAGGAAAGAGAGGGGGGCGCCGCCCCCTCCCTAGTCCAATTCGGACTTGCCATGGGGGGGGGCAACCCTTGAGGCCCTTCTCTCCTTTCTCGTATGGCCCATTAAAACCCACTACTTCCCCAGCGAATTCCCGTAAGTCTCCGGTACTCCGAAAAATACCCGAATCACTCGGAACCTTTCCGATGTCCGAATATAGCCTTCTAATATATCGATCTTTACGTCTCGACCATTTCGAGACTCCTCGTCATGTCTGTGATCTCATCCGGGACTCCGAACAACCTTCAGTATATCAAATCACATAACTCATAATACAAATCGTCATCGAACGTTAAGCGTGCGGACCCTATGGGTTCGAGAACTATGTAGACATGACCGAGACACATCTCCGGTCAATAACCAATACCAGAACCTGGATGCTCATATTGGCTCCTACATATTCTACGAAGATCTTTATCGGTCAAACCGCATAACAACATACGTTGTTCCCTTTGTCATCGGTATGTTACTTGCCCGAGATTCGATCGTGGTATCATCATACCTAGTTCAATCTCGTTACCGGCAAATATCTTTACTCGTTCTGTAATCCAACATCCTGCAACTAACTCATTAGTCACATTGCTTGCAAGGCTTATAGTGATGTGCATTACCGTGAAGGCCCAGAGATACCTCTCCGACAATCGGAGTGACAAATCCTAATCTCGATCTATGTGAACTCAACAAACACCATCGGAGACACTTGTAGAGCACCTTTATAATCACCCAGTTACATTTTGACGTTTGATAGCACACAAGGTGTTCCTCCGGTATTCAGGAGTTGCATAATCTCATAGTCAGAGGAACATGTATAAGTCATGATGAAAGCAATAGCAATAAAACTAAATGATCATTTATTCTAAGCTAACAAATCGGTCTTTTCCATCACATCATTCTCTAATGATGTGATTGCTACGTCTTGAGCTTGCGTTGGTTTTCCCCGAAGAGGAAGGGATGATGCAGTAGAGTAGCGTAAGTATTTCCCTCAGTTTTTGAGAACCAAAGTATCAATCCAGTAGGAGGCCACGCTCAAGTCCCTCGTACCTGCACAAAATGATAGCTACTCGCAACCAACGCGATTAGGGGTTGTCAATCCCTTCACGGTCACTTACGAGAGTGAGATCTGATAGATATAATATTTTTGGTATTTTTGGTATAGAGATGCAAAGTAAAAAGTAAAAGCAAAGTAAAAAAGCAAAGCAAGATTAAAGTGTTGGAGATTGATATGATGAGAATAGACCCGGGGGCCATAGGTTTCACTAGTGGCTTCTCTCAAGAGCATAAGTATTCTACGGTGAGTGAACAAATTATTGTTGAGCAATTGACAGGATTGAGCATAGTTATGAGAATATCTAGGCATGATCATGTATATAGGCATCACGTCCGTGACAAGTAGACTGAAACGATTCTGCATCTACTACTATTACTCCACTCATCGACCGCTATCCAGCATGCATCTAGAGTATTAAGTTAAAAACAGAGTAACGCCTTAAGCAAGATGACATGATGTAGAGAGATAAATTCATGCAATATGAAATAAACCCCATCTTGTTATCCTCGATGGAAATGATGCAATACGTGCCTTGCTGCCCCTTCTGTCACTGGGAAAGGACACCGCAAGATTGAACCCAAAGCTAAGCACTTCTCCTATGGCAAGAACTACCAATCTAGTTGGCCAAACCAAACGGATAATTTGAAGAGACTTGCAAAGATAACCAATCATACATAAAAGAATTCAGAGAAGATTCAAATATTATTCATAGATAGACTTGATCATAAACCCACAATTCATCGCTCAACAAACACACCGTAAAAAGAAGATTACATCGAATAGATCTCCACAAGAGAGGGGGAGAACTTTGTATTGAGATCCAAAAAGAGAGAAGAAGCCATCTAGCTACTAACTATGGACCCGAAGGTCTGAGGTAAACTACTCACACTTCATCGGAGAGGCTATGATGATGTAGAAGCCCTCCGTGATGACGACCCTCTCCGGCGGAGCTCCGGAACAGGCCCCAAGATGGGATCTCGTGGATACAGAAAGTTGCGGCGGCGGAATTAGGTTTTTTGCTCCTCTTCTGATCGTTTGGGGGTACGTAGGTATATATAGGAGGAAGAAGTACGTTGGAGGAGCACCGAGGGGCCCACGAGGCAGGGGGCATGCCCTAGGGGGCGCCCCCCACCCTCGTGACCGCCTCTCCG